AAATCACTAATAGCCAAAGCTACAGTTGTAGCTTCCTGATTTGGTATTGCATATGCCTCAGGCCAATTTGGTGAAATAATCCATCACCACACAAAGGTACCTGTTTCCAGCACGAGTTTGGGGCAAAGGACCAGCAATGTCAACGGCTACTCTTTCCATTGGTGTGCCAACTGGATATAACTTCAAAGTACAATGGTAATTTTCTTGGGTGGATAGATTTGTTAGCACAAACTGACCCTTTTCTGACAAAACACATCCAAGACTTTGGAAACAGTGGAAGAGGCAAGGCAAGATATTTCTCATCAACCATTGTTGCAGAGTTCATTGAACTCATAGCAAAGCAGGTAACAAATTATATTGTCAAGGATATTTCACGTTCCAAGTATTTCTCAGTGTCGGTCGATTCAACATTAGATTTAATTAACCCATGTTGATCAGCTCAGTGTTACTGTACTGAATGGCATAACCATTGAGCACTTCCTCACATTTTTACAGATTGAAAGCCATAAGGCTACAGACCTCACAAATGACTTGCTGAACTATTTGAAGTTGCAAACAATTGATATTAAAAATTGCCGTGGTCAAACTCATGATAATGTGAGCAACATGACTGGAAAATACTCTGAAATGCAAGCAAGACTGAAGGTTGTAATCCATTGGCCTTGTTTGTGCCAAGCACAGCACATTCCTTGAATCTTGTTGGATCAAAAGCTGTGTAGAAGTTGCAAGCTTCTTTGGTTTCCTGGCAAACGTTTACAATTTTTTTCTGCATCTGCCCATCTTTTGTCTGTTATAATGAAATATCTGGAAGGGAAGGAACTCTCAGATGCAATTTCAGCCTTATCCAAAGGATACATAAACATTCAAGGTGCATTGAATGAAATTGCTGATGATAAAAAACAAACTGCAGCTGCGAGACATGAAGCTGACTCCTTGTCTCAGACAATGGATTTGCTGAAATCACCATTCTCCTGTCATTTCTAGAACACCATTTTTTTCAGTTTTAACACAAGAAGCAAATCACTACAATCCACAACCATTGATATTAAGGTTGCTGTAATTACCGGTTATCTCTTTAATTTAAAATTATACTACAATTGGCTATTATTGTTAATAAATTAACTTTTCTGGCTCCCTTATGCCCTCGGAAAGTGCCGTTACTTTCGTTACCAGAGTGCCATAATAACTACTATCACATCATTCGGCATGTTGTTTTTCTTGAAATGCTTATTTGTGTTATGTCTCCGTTCGTTAGTTAATTTTCCGTAAATTCGTTCCGACGAAACTTTAGCGACACAAGTCCTTTCTTAAATAAACTGGTTTATTCTTTCCGAATACGATACACTTAATTTCAACAGTCGCTCTATAACAAAAGCTATAATTCTCAACGAACTTCTCACGTGCTTAACAATATTCTCTCTGACTGCAGTTCAATTACTCATTACCTCGTTCGTCGCTTCGTGGCCGGTCTTATATATACAAGACTACACTATATCTAGAAAGATCACGAGATTTAAGGAAAAGACGTGAAAGTTCGAGAATGACGTGGCGTGATACTAGCCACGTGACCTCGATGTCGTAACACTGCCCCCTCCTTAATATTGTTCGTCCCGAACAATAGCTACTTACATTAAACCAATAACAATTAACAATAACTTAATTAAATGTACAGAATTACAAACACAAAATTACAATTCAACAAAGTCTTTTAATTTACGGGACGTATCTTCTTCCGTACTGGTCTCCGTCTCGTTGGCTTCTGCTTCATGTGGGGTTCATCTGCTTCATCAGGAAATGTCCTATCATCGGTAACCGTCACATCAGTGGTAGTAACTTCACCAAGAGTTTCACCGTTTCCCTTCTCAAAACTGAGTAGTTTCTTCTTCGACAGTGGCTTTTTCAGGTGACACTTCTTCAGCAGCGTCATTTGTTCCTTTGTTCACTTCATCCCAACTGAAATGTCCTGGACCGTGATAACGCCAAAGCCTGTTGGCATGTGCCACTTTTGGCTTACCTCGCCGACCACATTTTATCCAGAAAGTCACGTCTGAGAGACGATCCACTATGTCATATGGACCTTCCCATGGAGAAGACAACTTAGGAGACTTCCCTTTGGTCTTCCTGGGATTATACAACCACACCTTGTCTCCTGGTTCAAAGCTGACTTCAGTAGATCTCTTATCATAAGATAGCTTCATCGATTCAGCAAACGTTTTCAAGTTTGAACGTACTTGATGGTGAATATCATCCATCCTTTCCGATAACACTTTCACAAACTCTGACACATTCTCAGGCAACTCTTCATAAGATGGGCGTCCTGTTATCAGATCCACTGGCAACCGAAGTTCCCGATCAAACATCAACTTTGCTGGAGTGTATCGAGTCCTATAGGCCATCAACAGTGGAGGGAGTAAGACATTCCAGTCATCTTGGCGGCTATTACAAAACTTTGCCAATTCCTGTCCCAGTTGTATTTTTCTACCATCCCATGAGACTGTGGGTGAAATGGCGTTGTCCTGGTCTTTCGGATGCCAAACAACTTGCAGCATTCTTGGAACACAGCTTATTCAAAGTTACGGCCTTGATCTGAATGCAGTTCATATGGCAAACCAAATCTGAAGAAGAAATCACTAATAGCCGAAGCTTCAGTTGTAGCTTTCTGATTTGGTATTGCATATGCCTCGGGCCACTTGGTGAAATAATCCATCACCACACAAATGTAGTTGTTTCCAGCACGAGTTTGGGGCAGAGGATCAGCAATGTCGATGGCTACTCTTTCCATTGGTGCACCAACTTGATATAACTTCATTGGAGCCCGTCCTTTATGTTTGGGTCTCCTTTAGCACCACATGTATTGCAGGTCCTGCACCATTCTTCCACATCTTGTCTCATACCTATCCAGTAAAATATGTGTCATAGGTGACTCAATGTTTTCTTAACTCCGAGATGTCTTCCTGTTAAATTATCATGGGATTGACGCAGCAC